ATGCCGCTCCGCCTGCTGCCAGCAGTGACCGCTGCCACTGGCAAATCTTGTGTATGCTTCCATTTGCTGCTGTGGGGTGATGAACTCTGCTGCCCCTGCCCTACCACACTGAGCTCCTGGGTTTATCTGTGAGTAACCTGCAGAAGAAGTGAAGCGCAGAATGTCCTGCAGTTGTCTTCGGGTGGTTTACAGCCACCCTAACCTCACTTTGCACTGGTGCAAGTAACACTGTGCATCCAGGAACCGGCCCCGTTCTGCTTGCCACATGGGCAGAGCAAGACTTCTGGTGCTCTTAATTTTTTTTTTTAGTTTAAATTTTATTTCCTTGCTTTTGTGCACTAGTGTTCTGTATCAGATGACAGGAAGAAGCACACAGTCATTCAGGGATCTGTCTAACTTCCCAAGTAATGTCTTTTTTTGTGTCAGGCAGATACAGAGAATTGTGGTAGAAATAGGGGTTTACTCCTCCTTGTTTGAGATGTTAATATTAAAGGCAAGACTACTTTGCTGGCAAGAAAAGGAATACAATAGCTCAAGTGCTTCTTACAGTTGATGGTTTTCCAGGACAGCAAGTGTCACCTGCTACAGGTGACACCTGGCACTGAGCTGCGCTAGCAGAGAGGAATGGCACAGATAGGACAGGCACTGATCACTGAATCGCTGTGCCTCCAGTCTTATATGTGCATGGCTGATCTCAGCGGAGAAATATTTGTATTAAAGGATTAACTAGAATCCCACAAGTTGATAGAAAAAGGATAAACATAGGTAAAGTGCTCCATACTTGAAAGAAACTTTTCATCATCAAAGGGATGTGTAAAGCAATGTGGGGGCATTTTGTTTGCACCAATGCTAAGGGTCTAAACCAAGCTGTGCTGCAATGAGGTTCCTCTAACCTGGAAGAGAAATTAAGGATTCTACAGACAAACTGTGAAGTAAACACATGATCTTGGTTTTACTAATGAAAAACCCACAGAAATGGTGCATTTGGGAAGTTGGGATGCAGTAGGCAGAGCCCCTGAACTGCACCCAGGCTCCCAGGCTAGAACCACGTCGCAGAGAAATATCCCAGTGCCAGGGAAAAGGCGACCGACGTCAGGCGACCTCCTGGTGTGCAAGCTTTCACTGTATAATTTTATAATAAAAAATGATTTCATCTTTTGGCACAATAAATGCTAGAAAGTTCTATTGTCCACTTCAGCTGTAAAGAGATTACAGGTAACGTTAATTTGCCAGGCTTAAAGAATCACTGCTTTGTTTTGAGGGCAATAAAAGCACAGAACTAGGTGTGGGCAGACCACACGATAGGAAACCTCATTTCATTCAGCCACGCCAGAGGAGTTTCCACTGCGCCTGCCGCTCCTGGCAGCACGTCCCTGCTGCAGCCCCAGCTCCCGCAGGGGTGGAGGAGCTGCTACAGCACAGAAGACTGTTCAACGAAACAGGCTAGGTTACATCTAAACGTGCAGCCAGCTCAGGGCATAAACACACAGAAAATGACCCAGATTGTTGCTTTGTGCCTAACAGTATTGCTCAATACAATGCTGAATACAGTGCTGAATATGCACTAATATTTTTTCCTGTGGCTGCTTCAATGACACTGATACAATGCACAGACATTGTTTTGACCCAGAGCAATTTAATGAAACGAAGTCTTATCATCCCATGATCCAACACCATGCAGCAGACTTGCCTGGCTTTTTGTTTGATTTTAACCAGAATCTGAGAAAACACCTGCCCATGCTAATTCATTCCTCTTGCCCCTACCAGATGTGTTGAGCTGTGCAAAATCAGTGTGACGAGGAGACACCAACCACTTCAGAGCAGAGTCATCCCACCAGCTGCACCCGCAGGGTAATGGCGCAGCCACAAACCCACAGAGTTACAGCTGGCCACACTGCTGTCTCGTCACCAAGGCATTTATAACCACTTCCAGTGACTGGATACTTCCTAAAGGAAATGAAAGTTTTTGCCAGGTGCCTGTTACTTTCCTTCAGGATTTCAGCCCCTGAAGTTACGAGGACATGGTCAAGAAGCAGAGGATTGCTGCGGGAAGGAGCAGTGCAGAGGGCTCCGTCCTGCTAGTACCGACCCCAACACCCCCAATCTCCGGCAGCAATAATGGCTGTGCCCAGCAAGTGAGCTTATCTGGCAGCTGCAAAGCTTCACCCACATTTCCTTTAACTGCCAGAAGTTTCAATTTACTGTGTCTTATTCAGCTGGTGACAGTGCCAGCCCAACAGTGAGCATCTGCCAGGGACAACCCCACCTTCTTCTTCCTCGTACCCAGCTTCACCCCACATGAGCCACTGAGAGGAGCCAAATTTTCAGAAAATCAAGTGGGGACCTCTTAAAAAAATCAACAGTTTGCTGTTGCTGAGAA